AAGTGCTCCGTTCTTCTTCAAACTCAAGTATGATTCCGAAGTTCAGCACAGTGCACAGGTTCTGTAGCACACTTTGGGTAGATTTTTAGACTCCAGATTTGACCCGGGCAGCGCCGTTAGGCTACTTTTTTAGATTTCCAACTGCCAAGGGATTTTTCACGCGCGCAACAATGTACACAATGTCTGATCTCACTACCCACAGACCAAGGGAAATTACTAGAAGTCCAAGTCCACGTGAGAAAATCCCAGCCCTTACCGGGTATTGAACCCGAAACCTCTAGCACTCGAGGCGGACACCCTGCCTCGAGACCACGCACCACCCCCCCCCCCCCCTTTTTTTTTTTTAATAGAACGAACACAAAAGAAGATGAATCCGGTTACTCTAGCAGACGGATCTGAAAACGGTGTCTTGTGTTTACTATCGCGGGGAAAGAGATTTGTGTAAGGAAACATTTTTCTTTAATAATTAGCCTTCAATGTTCTAACAGAAATTCAATCAATTAACGTCAGTTCGATTAAATCCTTTCAATGAAAACACATATTAGCAGGTATTTTTTCCCCTTATATGAAACGGTGCCGGTATACACGATACAATTTTTATAAAGAGGCGGGCACTCACCAAAATTGTAAATAAAAGTTGCTAAGAAACAAAATAATCCTGAAAAGGTAACAGATAATGTGTATTGCTAGAAACACTAAGCGTCCTTTCTATATATATATATAGATATATATATATATATATATATATATATATATATACATATATATATATATATATATATATATATATATATATATATATATATATATATATATAAAACAAAGGAAGAAGAAAGAAACAAGATAATCAAGTAATTCGCAAACCTGATCTATTTGGCTCGCCTACTTCACCTTTAGATTTCTTGCAAAATGCTGACTCATTCGTCCACACAATAATTCCTGAGCTGCAAGTTAATCAAACTTACACACCAATTCCCAACCGAACTATCCGTAAACACACCTCTAGGATTGCGTCAGTTAAGTGGTCAAGTGCCCATATGTGGCCACGTCATGAAGTGTCATGGTTCCATTCAATCGCAGGCCCATAGTGCCGTGTGTTGACCAATACCTCCGACGCTTAGTTCTTTTTACAGCACAACCTTCTGAAAAGGAAAAGCCGGCACACAAGATTAGCATTGAGAGAAACCAGGCAGTTTTGGTCTCTGAATTAACAGGCGCCCGGGCAAAACTATATTTCTTGTTCTGTCATGGCTTGTATTAAAGTGATCAATGACCGAAGCGTTCACGTAAGCCAAACATTTTTTTTTTTCTTTTTCAAAACACGTATTTCTGCCTAAATTCCCCCCCCCCCCCCCCGTGATGACACCCGGAAGGCCTTCAAACCCCACCCCCTTTCCTTTGCTAGAGCATAATCTCGCCTCCCCAGTCCCCACCTCCCTCTTATAAATAGGAAATATGGTCAGCAAAACAGAATACAACGTACCCTATGATCTTTAAGACATTTATGTACCTAAATGGCCCCTACCCATTCTGTCCCTACCTTTCGCCCCATAACAATAGTTCCCATAGGGAAAGGGGGATTCTATCCGGATAGGGATGTGTTTCTTTCAAAGACAAAAGCCAAACGCGTGTGCATTAGGCAGTGGTCAATTCCTCCTGTCTGTCCAGTGCATGCCCACTCGCCGCGTTCTCATCGGCCACTGGCTAGTCTCACCGAACACCGAAGCGCCAAGCAACACGCAGACACGACGTCGGGATCACATTGCACAAAGTCTAGTAAAGAAGAAAAAAACTGACCGCCACATGAGACATTCGGTCAGCGGGTAAGCGAAGGCCAGTTAACTAACTGACCATACCGTTTTCTCGCCCACATACAACCTGAGCACCAGAGCAGTTGGTCGCAGGTCTGCTTTGGAGTTTTTCTGCGGATGACTAAAGAAGAGCGGAAAAAAAGAACATTTATAGAATCTACATGCTATATCATTATTTTAATAAACGCCATTCTCATCAGAACGTTCTGATATTAATTATGTTGAAATGATAATCAGGTAGTTATTTCGACATATTAAAACAGACAGAATTATGCTCGACGTAACAGTTGCCGCCATCAAAGACGCTCAAAAACATATTACAAGAAAGTAAGGAGAGAAAAAAAAATCAGCAGTAACATACAAAGATACTCACAGCTGCTTTTCGTCAACATTGCATTTCGACAGACGTTCATTTGTTTATTTTCGAAGGTAACAGTGTATTTTCTCTAAATATTAGAGATACTGGAATTTCAGATATCAAATATCAATTACCAGTTTGACTCCTGAAGCCGTAGCTTCGTGTTCATACGCCACTGATATCAGATAGCTGAGTTTTAGTGTCATCACCGCTGCATGATTTCAGTCAAGCAAACGACAATGTCAGTAAGTACAGTCTATGACAATGGCAACTTTTACTTGAACACAGCCTAGCGAGAAACATCGGACATATTCCAGATTCTTGGCGGCAAATTCTACTGTCATTTCCAGTCGGGAAATTTGAAGTTGATTGCATCACTTCATACAGTTTCAAGATAAAGGCTCCAGTTTCATTACAGGTAAATTTGTCAATATCGTTAATTAATTAGATTATTTATATTATATTACTTTTATTTAGTTGTTACACTATGTATCAAGCAAATCGCCCTGAGTCCCTCTGATGTATAAGGAAACAACTAGCAGTAACGATATTTAGTACCCAACCTTTCACAGTTTTTTGGAGAGAGCCACCATGCGACGAGTTATCTGGGCACAAATCCCAGAAACCCTGTTCAACCGCTAGGCTATATTTGTGCCCCCAATAAAAGCCGGGATTGTGCCTTTAAATAATGAAAAAAAGTATGTCGAGTACAAGGACGGTTTTGTCAAACTTTCGAGCATGTAGGTAAGTAGGTAAGTTGTACCCAAACCTCACATCATACAAGCGATAAACACCTGGTGACACAAAGTGCCATTATGCGGATGAGGATCACCCGTGAAGAGGTCCCAGAAACTCCTTTTAGCCGTGAGGCTATATATTTACGGACTGGCTATTTTCAGGGCCCTCGGGGATAATTGTTATAGTATTGTAACTTTAAACATACATGGCCTAAGTTTTACACACACACACTCATACACAACGTTCGAAAATTAAGTAATGAGACTAAATCCATAAAAATTAAAATAATCAACAGTTGCAGAAAAAACCTGTAAATTATTCAAAGTAACACTATTGTGTATTGATACAGCAAGTGACACGATTTCACGAACATTGGAACGACCTCTGTAGTTCTTATGTTGTTATGGCAATTAAAGTCGATGTTACGGCTCTTTAGATGTCACCAATATCGCTAAGGAAGCGTCCTTTCAATCGTAACTTTAATTGTTGGGTTTCTGTTTTCCATACAATGGGACCCTGAACCCATACAGCGAGTAGAAAATAAATTATCAACGAAAACAACAACAAAATCCTCACCCAAACTGGAAGCTACAGGATACGTTGTAACAGATAGTACCCTAATGATAAACAGTGGGACGTTGTTTCTGTAAATTTGCTTTTGATGGGGTCTCATACTAATAGTGTGTCTTTGAGTCATTGGGTGTTAATCTTTCAGAAAGCAATCGTGGACAGGAGTGATAAGTTTTCATTTCTTTGAGCTGATTTATTATATCTACTGAAAACAGTTTATGAAAGCTAGATTGTGGTTTTCTTTCAAAATCAATTTATAGGTAATTTGATATGTTGTTTGATATGTTGTTGCAGGTTTTCAAACATGTAGTTGACCTTTGGGCCAGTGTCCATTTTTGTCCTTTTCATAACCCTATTCTTTTTGCTCACCTCATCTCCTCTTACATATTTTGCACCTTGCAGTGTCCAAATGGAGTATAATTTGCGGGAACATGCCCGCTGGTGCAACCCAAACTTATTGCTTTAAATTTGTGTGTTGTTACCTGTGCCTTTTAATCCTATCTCCCCCCCCCCCCCAATCTACTACCATTACACCCTTGCATTAGTTTTCAGTTTATATATATATATATACACACACATATATATACACTTAAATACATACATAGTAGACAGGTCATTGGTAGGTAATTATTTTCCCCGAGGCAGGTGCCCGTCACTAGGTAATCTTATGAGGAGGGGAAGTGTGGTTCGCTTTTTAATTTTCTTGGGGAGGAGCTCAAGTTGTTTAATCCTTGTTGAGCGAGCAATAATAATAAGAACCATAATTTATTATAATTAGGTGCTAAAGACCAAATAAATTTAATATATCCGAAAAAAAAATGTATCAACAAATACTTTTTAAAGAAGAAATTCTAGACGATTTTACCACTTGCATTTATTCTAGAGGTTGGCGCTCAGCCGCATGAAGAGTTGTTTACACTTGACTACGGGAGCCACCATGGTGAAGAGGCTAGACGTTCGCTTAGACGGTCAACATCCAACCAGCCGCTTTTACTTCCAATAACTTTACCTGGTACTCATTTATGGCGGGGTCGACCTGGGCGCCAAGGTCCTTTATAAAAAAAACAAAAACAACCAGTTTGGCTCCGTCAGGACCTGAACTCGCCAGCTTCTGATCAAAGGGTGAGCATCTAACCGCTACACCACGCCTGTCCCGCCTCCCCTTTTACCCTCTTCGCTCAGAAATATACAATGAAAGAACATTGGAGATTCACGGTATCGCCATGACTAGACTATTTTTCATGTTGGGACGAAGGTTTTGGGTTCCAGTCCCCTTCCAGGCGAATTTTTGTAATTGACCGTTATTTGTTTCATCAGCTTTTTACAAAGAATTCGTAACAGTGAATCCACTTATTAGTCCAGTAATGACGTTTCTATACATCTGACACTTATGGTAACGGAATATTATGTAAATATTCATATGCTCATTGTTTTATGATATCACTGCCAATTATCTGGCACACGTAACAGTCTTCTACACATTTGGCATTTTGTGTCTCTTTCAGATAAACAAATCAATAGCCATGTCTGAGGCAGCGTTGGATCTGAGCATATCATCATATGATGTCACTTCCCAAAAGACATCCAGACATCATGACCTAGTCAGTAATGATTCTGGCAGGGCATCTTCAGACAGTACCCTGTCCGATATTCACGAAGAAATCAAGATTCGTCTGAGGACATCTCCGCAAGCAACTTCCATACACCCTTCTTTCCTTGGAAGACACAGCCCAAATAATGGTCGGACACTTGGTGGCTCACAGTTTTCTCCCCTGGCGCAGAATTCACCCTTGTTTTCGCCCCTGGCAAAGACTCGAAATCTGCCTGAGCTTCCACCCCACCTTCAGCTGAAGAATACATCCTCGGTGTCTTCAGCGATGAGTTCAGCGATGCACGCAGAAGTCAACCGCACAAGTAATTATTCCGAGCCACATTCTCCAGAACAACAGGAAGCTGTTTCTGGAGATGACGATATAAAACCAGTTCTTGCAGGGGACCGAATCTCAGAACCTCGTGTGGCGCCAATCAGACCATTCAAAATGTACCCAGTAGATCCGTTCGCCATGTATGCAAATCCCTTGATGGCAGGAACTGGGACAATGCCCTCTTCAACATTAAGCCTGCAATCTCTCTACGATTCCAGTTCTCCCGTTAATTTTCCACCTTTTCCTTTGACTCCAATCACATCACATTTACTGCAGCGGAAGCGCAGGGCAGAGAACAGAGAAAGTTCTAGCTCTGGAACTGCTACCACAAGCAGCTCAACTATAAACAGTGGCAACAGTTCAGCAGGTATTGGTAGTATCAGTGTCAACGTCAGCACAGCTAACGGCAGTACCATGGTTAGCACATCCAGCCCAGGCTCTTCTAAAGAGGATTCAGGTGGAAGTGATAATGAGAGGAAAGGAAAATCTTCTATGGATGTAAAAAAAGATGATGCTTACTGGGACAGAAGAAGGAAGAACAATGAGGCTGCGAAAAGGTCACGAGACGCCAGACGACAAAAAGAAGAAGAAATTGCCATGAGGGCAGCATATTTAGAGCAAGAGAATTTGAAGCTTAGAGCTCAGGTAGCTATCTTGAAAAACGAAACTGCTAAACTACACTACATGCTTTACAACCGTATGTAAACTCCATTTCTTGATTTACAACCATATTTAAACTAGAATGCATCGACAGGTTACATATGTTATTGCCTGACTGATATGTTAATTCGAAACTTCTGTATATATTGTGCCTTTCTGAACATAGTGACTGTTTTCAAGAATGTGCCAAGAAAAAATTAAATGAAAGTATTTAATAAAGAAGGCCCTTGTGAAACCAAAGCAAGCTTAATTTAATTTACAATACAACAAAATTGTATGCGATGTATGAGCATAATAAAAACAAAGGCAATGTTTTCAATACATCGTCTTCAAGAAACTCAACGATAATAGGCTCTACAAATTGTTGCTGTCTAGATAATTGTTAATAATACGGTCTCAATGTCAAAAGAACACCTGATATCAACAGCAATGAGAATGTTAGATTAGGCATCGTACACAGCATGAACTCCATAGCTCCAGTGAGATTACAAGGAATCAACGTAAAAATTGAACTCGTGCACTTAATGACACCGACATTGAAGACAATGGAATCTTCGATAAACAAGCTGACTATATGTGCATCAGTAGGTTCGTTAAACAAGCAGACTATATGTGCATCAGTAGGTTCGTTAAACAAGCAGACTATATGTGCATCAGTAGGTTCGTTAAACAAGCAGACTATATGTGCATCAGTAGGTTCGTTAAACAAGCAGACTATATGTGCATCAGTAGGTTCAATAAACAAGCTGGCTATATGTGCATCAGTAGGCTCGATAAACAAGCTGACTATATGTACCTCAGGAAGATGAAAATATGAATACTAAAGAGGTAAAGATAATGACCAGTTTTATTCGTGTTTGTGCATTAGCGAGTAAACTTGAGGCCAGTATTGGAGCTATATGCCAGTGTGACATTTGTAAATTTAATATCCAGTTTTTATGGTTTTAGTAATAACCTTATGGCAGGACAGGTAAATGACCACATGTATACGAATGAGGTAGCTTGACAATGCACCTGAGAAATATAACGAAGCATGGTTACTGTTAACTAGTCAGGTAACTCTATATGACACAGAGGTGCTCTTATGTACACTAATGAGGTAATCTGACTTTATGCCCCTCAGTTACATAACTTAATACGAGGTGCTCCTGTGCATACGAATAAGTTGACTATATTCGGTAACATAACCTTATATATACTGTGGCTATGCATAATTCAACAAGACGACTATACTTCAATATTATGCCTATGCACCTCAATGAGATATAGTAATAAGCAAATGTGGTAATTGTGAGGTAACTATATATGTAAAGGCTATTCAATTGGCGGCCCGCGGACTCAGTCTGGCCCATAAAAACCTAGCAAGTGGCCCGGGGATCATTGGCAGTTATATTATATTAATCATCATTCTATGCCGCGGGTTGGGTCTCGCTGATACCCACTTTCAGAATTGGGGTCCCTGAGTTAACTTTGCTGAATAACCCTGATATATATATATTTTGAAGAGACGCTGCTATGTGTACTAATAAGATAAGATAACTTATCACAGTAACATAACCAAATATGTATTAACTATTTGGTTATGCATACGTATCACAGCGACAAAATGTATTCTACTTAGGTGTCTATGTACTTCAATGAGAGCTGGTCAGATGACAGTATGTACCCATATAGGATGGCTGTAAATACTCCGGTGAGATAACTATATTATGTTAATCAGGTGATTAGGTGTCACACACACACACACACACAAAAGGTTGCCAGAACAATTGTGAAATGACTTTCTGTAAACCAGTTAAATATTGGGTGTGCATTCGGAAGAAAAAAGTTAACTGAACAATAATGAAATCATTACTTGTACATAACTGACAGTTATAACGAACCGTGTGACTGTGTATATGAACACCTACCTATTCTGTTACTGCGTGTGAATCAATGATGTGACTATATATATATATATATATATATATATATATATATATATATATATATATATATATATATATATATATATATATATATATATCAGTGAATTAACTAAATGAACAATTATGAGTTGACTGTGTGCATTATTGAATTAAGTACTAAGAACTTATTGAGAAGATCGCACAAAGTTGAACAGTGAGATCGCGGAAACTCGTGCACTCAAACTCATACTGTATCTCAAAGGGGAGATTTTTTATACTTCAGTGCGGGAAAATATTTCCCAGTTCCTGATGTTTCGGTGAAATTCATGTCATCTTCATCCGCTACAAAATGCACATACAAATCACACAGCTCATGGTTAACACGCGAAGACGTTGTTTGTTTCTTTTTGAAGACTTGTGTTTTATGGGTAGCGTGGGAGTCATTTGTTGACTCACTTTTAGATTTTAAAGTTGTCTGAGGTGTTCAAGTCAAAACAAATATTTTGCAATTCTAATATGTGGTCTATCATTGAACCTCGTGATCTGAGTGCTTTTGTGCATGAGATGGTAGGAATTTCATCAATATTTTAATTATATTATTTTGTTTATTGTTTTATGGACTGAAGAGAATGTTTACACTCACAAGCACATAGACGTGCGCACATAGACACACACTCGGGCGCACACACACACACACTCGCGCGAGCGCACACACCCGCACATATTTATTCATGCAATCCAAACAGATAATATTTTTTTATTAATGAGAATAGTTTAAATAGTGAGAACACTTTCGATGCTGAATAAATACCTCATGAGAAAACATAACATGCATCACATATACCTCAGTAGGATTACAAAATATTAAATAAATGAAAATGACATAAGTTTTAGCATTCTTACTTAAGTCCTCTTATTTGTTAACAGCAATATCTGCAATGTGAATTTTATTTTAGTTTATTAGGTTGCAATTTTACAATATTGACAACAAAAATGGCATTTAGGTTTGTAGAGGAATTTGGTTTTATTAAAAATTTAAGGGTGATAATTATTTGTTTAAGTCAAGTTTTGTGCAAGACATTGATGTAATATGTAAAAACCTACAATTTTTATGATTTCTTTTACTTTGAAACTAACATGTGGAATTTTGTAGAATTTCCTTTTTTTTTTTTTTTTAGCGTACAATTTTTTAAGGGTATTTTTTTTTTTACAGGTTTACAACATTTTGCTTTGAAACTAACATATGCAATTTTATAGTATCTTTTTTCTTTTGTATAGTCTTTTTTTTTATATAGAATTAATTTTGACTTTGCTTAGTTTTTTTTTTAATATTAAAGCTTATATTGTTAAAAGTTAACATTTTACTTTCAAACTAACGTATGAGATTTCATATTGTTTTCTTTTCTTAGTGTTTATTTTAACAAACTAACATGATACGTTTTGTGGAATTTCTTTATATTTTGTTAAGTGTTTTTTTTTTTTCTTTTCTTAAGGGTGGTGTTCCTAAGAAAAGATCTTGTCAGGTGTATTTTCTTTAGATAGAGTAATAATATCTCATTTGCCCCATACAAATAAGTCAATGTTTGTAAGAGATTTAGTGAGTGTGAATGATAGAGTGATGTAATTGTGATTAACATAGTGATAAGAGTAAGAGAGAGGAGGGGTGGGGAAAGGTGAAGGAAAGCGGCGAGAATTCAATTGTCATTTCTTCTGCATAATCTAACACTAACACTGTCTACGTAAGGATGCTATAGCTGGCAGAAGAACAAGCAACGGAATCAGTAGAGAAACAAGATTATTATGGCAAGGAGAGAATGAGGCACCTGGGTGTAACCAGAGGGTCTGGCCGGCTGACTACACTCAGAGGAAAGGCAAGATGGACATTTAACCAGACTGTGACTGGTACCATCCGTTTGGAACTCTTCGCTGGCTGCTGAAGAGGAGGACGGGGCATGCATGGGAATGCCCCGAGGGCTGTGATATCAATTCTTGACTCAACTTAACTAAACTCAACTTATCATCCCGTAGTGGGAAAAGGAGTGGGTGCGTGGGGGGGGGGGGGGGGGGGTGAGTTTCCAACATTGTGGATTATTTTATGATAGATACAAATCAAAATGAGTATCAAGAAATGTTTGGGACCTGGTAGCCCAAGTGACTTCATTGTGCTCTTTTATTTTATTTTTTATTTTTATTTTTAAGCATTTTTTAGACTATTCTGAAAATCATATGATAACCATTTTTAGAGGCTTGGTTTATTCGACAGCCATACTGGTTAAAAATAAAATATAAAAAAATACATATTTCTGCCACCTCTGGCGATTGAACTATGACTTCTATTTTGGCAGATAAATGTACTTACCACTCTACCATCATACCTCGTCCTGATGACTGGTATACTAGATCCCACTGACTCATTATATGCTTTAAAACATGGCACAAAAATACTGTTTTATATTGCCACTTATTTTATACTGTTACTAGTATTCCAAGAAAGTTTGTTGAACAAAAGAGAAGAGGCTTCAAGATAGTGCTCAAATTCGAGAAATCTTCTGTAGCTAGTTGTTTGAAAACATAAAAAGCATTGTTTTTATTACTTTCAATGCATACTCATATACTTCTGTTGTTTTTATTGTATATGTCTACCTCTATGTAACTGTTATCAATTATTATGAACGTATATTACTGTTATTTGTTAAATAATGCATCTTTGCTGATATGGCTGACTTTTAGCATAGCCAGCACAAACTAAGCTCAGGAATTTTAACAGCCTTGTTATTTTCAGTCTTTTTATCTTTTATTGATATGCCAGTTTGTATTTTCTTCTCAGACATCATCCAGCCACTTTCAGTTATTGCATTACATTAATCTATGCAAAACATATTTCACAAATAAATCATCAAACATAATTAAACCTATCCTATTAGCTATTTATTCACTGCCTTACTGCAATTATTTTGACTACTTATTTTAGTTGTTATTGATATTTGTATTTTAATTAAGTCACCTACTTATTATCTTCCGGGTAAAGATCTGTTGTTTTCGTTATTGCAACAATCAGGTGAAGCAATAAAGTTAATCAAAATAAGCTATGATACAATCATTTCCTTAAAAATAAATCCGTTTTCTCAGAAATTAAAG